GACATCTCTGACATATTGATATACCTCCGTGTATCATGCTCGGGTCTTGAAAGTGTCTATCAAAAGGTACTAAAAAGGCATTATGTGCTTGGGGCACGAAATGGAACAACTTGTTTGCTTTACACATTTTTTGTTGTTTCATGTGGGTTTGGTTTTTGACACGTATCTGTCCCAATGGTATTTCGGCTGTGTGCTCAATCTCGAAAATATAAAAAGTCGTACAAATCATGTGCAGAATGATTTCTTCTTGAACAGACGCGATGAACTGGAGCAATACCCGGCGTTTACTCGATTGAATGTTATAAAATAATTTCGCTAAGCGTGTCTGTAGTTTTGTCGGTATGTTTGAGTTTGTGTGTATGGTTTGTGTTTGTGTGTGTCGGTGTTTGTGTTCGAAATTCATGAGTCCTGTTCTCGTGGATCTAGAGTGTTGAAACTTATTAGGAGTACAGGCGGCAGAGTGGGAACACTGATTATAAGTTATAGAGATGGTACTGATTGAAAAAAACTGATCAAGCGCCCTAGAAAGGGAGATCAGCATCCGTTACCTTCTTCATAGTAGTGGTAGGGCCTTGGCACTTGATTAAAGGCACAGTTCACGATAATTGTGGGTAATCCAGATTATGATGAAAAATGGGCGACAACTTCGAAAATAGTGCGATGAAGATGGAGAAACTGCGTGAATCGGTGTTTCCAAACTGAAAAAAGGCTTCGAAAAACCGTGGGGGACTGGACGAGAATGAGACCGGAAAAATGATGAAGAGTGGGGCGTTTGGACGAGCTATACGATGTGTCTCACTGCGTACGTGTGGGTCCTGGTGCGAATAAAAGGCAAAGGTAAAGGAAAATTCATTCACTTATAAGCATAAGTAAACAAAAAACAATAGTAACAGCGAAGCAGATCAAATTTTTTAGCCTCTAGAAGTAATAAATTAAATAAAGGGTCGCGGCAGCAAGAAGAATAGCAGAGGAAAAAAGAATGGGAGAAAAACATCGCCTCATCACTCGGCGACAGCTGATTGTGTGTAGGTCCTAGAACGAAAATTTGCAATCTGTATTGTCTCGACACTCGTCTGACCGTCTGACGTGACTTCGATCGAGAGGCGGGAAGGCCATTGAGGTCCCCGCCCAGTGAATTATCGTGAACTGTGCCTTTAAGAGATGTGGATTGAGAAGGGTCCGTCGATGATCACTGATAAGGATTGATCACAACTGCTAGACACTGATAGCGTGTCATAGAAGGCGGGAGCAATTAGGTCCACAACGTATTTTATATTCAAAGTGGAGCAGCTTAGTAGGCGGTGTGGGATGTGAAGGGACTGAAGGTGATTGGTGACGAGGACTGATAACAAGCGAGCAAGTGACCTGGTTGTAGGTACTATGTAACAGGAACTGATAAGATCTGATAAGGGGCTTTAGAGAGCAACTTGCCAATTGAATCCTAACGGCTTTGGCATACACAATCGAACGTTGATTCTTTGATATGTTCCACTAGATAAGACGGGATGGATGAGCAGGGTTACAAAAGTGAGTGGTAAGGGCAATGATATTGACCCATGAGCCGCACTACGACAAAAACATGAGTTTGTTCATTTCTTGCTATTGGATTACGACCGCTACCCAGCAAGGTTTGTGACTCAATGAAGGATCCTCTTTGTTCGATACCATTTGCGATAAACCTTAACCGACCATCAATCATTTAAAATTCTGAACTAACATCTCCCTAAAAAAGGTGCATTGATACGACATCCGATAATGGTGTCATCATCACTCGAAACATTTGTGAGTACCGCCCAAGTCTTTGATCGCCTAACAGTCGAACCAGTTGGCTCCGCACGCTATCGCGCGCCCAAAATAGTGATCTAGACGAAGCTATACGAACTGTACTTCAGTCCATGAGCTGGGCATTCCACAGTCATTTCATTGTTGAATGCATTGACCGCATGAGTTGTTCTCCACACATTGCCCCCACATTCAATAACACTCTTACCGACGTGCGCGATGGCATGTGGGGCATCTGGTACGAAACGCCTTAGATAGTGATTTGGTCCACAAGCATGCGAAGCCAATTCATTCTAACTAAATCAAGCAAGCAGCCCTTGGCGGCACGTAGGCATAGTGCGTCATATGCATCACCTGGTTCATGGTTTCCGTACATCCGCTTGCCAACTAAAAGATAACTAAGCCCCCATTTGTGCATGCCCCGCCCGTCTATGATGGTAGACTTCATTTACTTTGCCTACCTCTATCCACTTTATTCACGGTCTACAGGACATATTGGAGCCCATTTATGAATTTTCGTCGAAAACTCCGCCCACTTTGGTGGAAACACCGCCCGTCCGTGGTCATTACCCACTCCGCGGTTACCCAACCTTGAGCTTTTGTCCCGATCCCTAGGGCTTCGTGAAACCAACTTAAGAATTTCCGTCGCTAACTCTGACCACATTGGTACAGGCCCCACCCGTGCGTGGTTGTTGACCACTGCGCCGTTGCCACACCCTAAGCCCTTTTTTCCAAGTCCCCAGGGCTTCGTGTAACTAAGTTATGAATTTTGTAGCAAGCTCCGCCCACATTAGTGCGCGCCCACCTCCCCGTAGTTGTTGAACTCTCTGCCGTTGCATGTCTCTGACCACTTTTTTCCGGCCTCTAGGACTTCATGGAAGCGAGTTATAATTTTCTAATTTTTTAGCAAACTCCGCCCCTTTTGTGCCGGCCGCGCCCACCATTGGCAGTCAGCTTCCTCTTCTTATCCGACTTATATCCACCTTTTTCCAGCTTTTCATAGCTTCTCACGAGGGAAGGGTATCAAATTCCCATGGAACTTTGAATAGGGACGTGGTATATCGATAGGGCTTGGAAAGTTATTAACAAATAAATGACTAAAAGTGGCTAAATGAAGAAACTAAACTGAATGAAGCCAAATGAGTCTACCAAAAGAGTTTTGGGCGTTTGAAGTTTGCAGGTCAAAGCATGGAGAGATAGTGCCAATTGATAAGCGCAGTTGCCCGCACTGGCTGTTCTGGCATAGGCCAGAACCCGCGGTCACCACCGCTTCTTCGGAGCGGAGCTTAAGTAGGCGATTCACTTCTCTGTCATACCCGCTACAAGGACCACACTCTCTTGTACACCACCCGCAGCTAGGGTGTTTGTGTTCGTTACTAATAAATATATATCACTGAACCACCGTATTTATTCGTTCGTTCGTTTATCAGAGAGACAACAATCTCTCTGATTGCATAAAAGGCGCCACCCTTCCGCCTAGTCACCACATTTTTTGGTGCATCAGCTAAAGCCGTTATAAGGTTAGCAAATCGCCTGTCCTCCGGACTCAGTCAGCCCAAAAAACCGCAAACAACAGCTTTGCGAAGAGCAGAGTTATTGCGTTGTTGTTTGTTGAATTCCCAGTCGAATTTAACAGACACATTTCACTTGATCGCTCAGTAGCAGCGAATTACTTGCTAATTCCATCGGACTTAGCTTATTTTTTCCTTGTTGAAGGACATTCGCTCGAAAACGCGTACTTTTGCTTGCTAATTCACAACAAGTACATTATCACTAATGAGAAAACCGCTCAACAGCAGCGAAGTAAGTAAAGGAAATAAGTAGAGATATCAATATGGCACTCTACTTTTACAAAAAACCAATCATTTCTAGCGCCACAGCCCTAGCCACTCTGTTACAAAAATATCAGTGCTACGAAGCAAACTTAGAGTACTCCGGAAAACGAGGAGGAACTTTACGAAAAAGCTCTGGCAAATGTTACCCTTTTATCGTCAGCAATTAGTCGTATAAGAACCGCTGTAGAGACCATTCAAGAGAGAGTCGATGAAATAGAGAATCATTATGCTAATGCAAAAAAGACTGATCAAAAAGAACTCATCGTAGAAGTTCAGGAAATTGAAAGAGAATCTCAGTATCCACAGCTTTCGGCGAGTGCTGAGGCTTTCATTCATATACTGGAAGCTCAGTTAACTGAGGCTTGAGCAAATTTGGCAAAAGCCCAGAGAAAACTAAAATTATCTTCAACTTATGATGACAGTGAAGGATCATCAACTCACAGGAACAACCAGACAAGTTGGTCTCAGGGAAACTCGGAGGATCCAAATTCTGAGAGCACCTCAAGGATGCGGTCATACAAAGCGCCCAATATCAGCTTACCAAAATTTCATGGTAGCGAAGAGGAATTTCCAGAGTACTGGGCAGTTTATGAGTCCCTCATCCACTCAAGCAATGACCTGAGCACAATTGAGAAAATTGTTCTACTCAAAGACAGCTTGGGAGGGGAGGCCGAAAGAGCCATCAAAGGAATACAGCCGATAGCAAAAAATTATGAGTGGATCGTACAGACACTCAAAGACAAATTCGGCAACCGACCGGTCAACAGGTCACAAATAGTGCAGAAACACTTTGATTTGAAAGCTGCTGCACAAAATGCAAAAAGCTGAGATGACTGCTTGGACTCGATCAAAGCATTTGTGAACCACATGGTCTCTACGGACTATGACATCAGAGCCACTAGCGATCCTATATGGACTGAAACAATAATTAAAAAGTTCCCTTACACAGTAATAAAGGACGTCCTGGCGAAATATCAGAACGAAAAATATCACAATTGGAAATCTCATAACGCTCTTAGAAAGAGAAATATCCTCCAAACACTTCGTCGAGGCACACTGGGGTTCCAACAGCGAACAAACCGGGGAAACCAGGTATACTGATGATCATAGAGCGCAAGAAATGAGGCCAATCAACAAAACTATGGCAGCAGACCACAGCAATCTAATAGCAGGCCTGGCAGTCGTTATTGCAACGATGATAGGAGAACCCAACAGACCAACACGCAGGTCATTCATACCGAGCAGGATTACGACCGCTCAAAGATCGACACGAGTAAAAATAAACAACTGGTTCTTATGACAGCAGAGGGTAGTCTTTGGAATAACAAAAACAGAAGGTTCGAGAAAGTGCTTTTCTTCTTTGATACTGGAGCTCACAAAACCATGATTGAAGAGACATTAACAAACGATTTTGGACTTCCAAAACTCTTCACAGAAACCTGTACAATGTCGGGCATTGGAGGACACGTTGAACGGTTCGATAGCACAACTGAACCTTTGAGAGTCAGATCCGCGTACGGGAAAGAACTACGCTTCAACGTACAAACCAAACCAATCTTAACAAACGAATTTCCTTCGGTAAAACTGACAGAAGAAGATGCCAATTTCCTTGAGCATAACCAGATCTGCGTCGCAAATTCCAATTTACAAGGAGAGCGACAGGTGCCCTTAATTTTAGTTGGACTCGACAAATATCACGACCTGGTCATAAAAGACGGAGTTCCACAGAGAACACCTTCGGGGTTGCGAATCGCAAAAACCGTGTTCGGTAGAGCAATTTATGGCCGAGGCAGGCTAGACAATCCAGCAGAACAGTCAGTATCCTTTGGGTTGATGGCCATTCACGAAGGCTCAGAGGATCGAATATCAGAGAAACCTTTCAATCTAGAAGAGCAAGGAGTTTCTTCTGATGATCGCGCCGCTGATAGTAAAATTAAGCAACATTTCGAAAGCAACCCAAATTCACTATCGATCAATATAGGTTATGTCACAGCACCATTTAAATGGCAGTGCAATATCTCAAAACTTGAGAATGAGGCGTTCACGCAGATTGGGCTTGAAGACGCACACAAAGAGTTATGCCGCCCACTGTGTTCAAGATACCAGAGGCTTATTATGGGGTCAAACATGGCGGAGCGCCGCTTTAATCGGTTACCATTCGGAGTCATTGCGTCACCTAGTATACTAAATATGGCGTCTCTAGCATTTCTGCGCTCGAAAGGGACTGAATTATCGGCAGAAAGAGAGAGAAATCTGGATATGGACAATATTTCACTTCAGCCACAATCTGAAGGGCGGATTCCCCAAAGATACAAAGAGTCTAAGAGTTCGTTCTCAAAAATCGGTATGAACTTCCGAGAGTATGTTTCTAGTACGAATAATAATAACATGACCATACCAAAGAACGACCGGGCTCCATCGGGTAAAACAAACTTCTTTGCGCTCATAACGACACGAAGAACGACCGCCCTACAGTAAAGACAAAATTCACCCTTGTGGTGTTGCAGCCGTTCGCTAGAAGCTTTATTTCCCGAAGCTCACTATTGTTACACAGGCACTCTTATATAAGCTCCTTGCGAACAAAAACATTACAATGAGTGACTGGGAGCTCTAATCGAACATATGCGGAAATATGCACGAAGAATGCGACCTACAAAGCAAATGGATGAACGTGTGGTGTACCACGACACTCCGGCGAGGGGCAACAATGAACCACAAGATCCATAGTGAAGCGAATGAACTACAATCACACAATCAATGGGTATCATTCAATCCGCCGTAATACTAGGTAAATAGCTTATTGTAAAAATAATCAAAGCCGACACGTCATCGTTAAGATAGAGAATTAATAAAACGTCGAAACACAGCTATCTGAACTGCTACACAGCCGCTGCGATCGACAAGAACCATACCATTGAAAGGTGATCGTACGCCAGCATCGACTGCTGCCCATGTTCGCCTCGACCAACGTTCGATAGAATTCGAGCTGTGATCCGTGGCTCCAGAAAACGACACAGATTCAGAACCGAATCAGTACGATGATGCTTGGAAGGCAGGCGATCAATCAGGCGAAAGCAGCAGCGAATACCATAATATTGATTACTTCAGGTAGGGCGATGTCAGTGGGAATGCCAGCCGACTGCACGGTTATTGACGACTAAAGGAGTGGTGACGGGTCAGTGGAAGGGGGGGGGGGNCGGAAAATGCTCTGGTGCCAATACACCAGTGCATTCTCTGGGGCGAAGGGAATTTAGAACTTCCTTCTTTTTTGCGAAGCCGTGGATTAAGACAGTTTGCTTGGGCAAAGCAGGCCATTATGTTCTCTGCCACAGTAGGTGCAGAGTATCCCACAGTCCTTTCAAAGACGAGGCTGTAGACAGCGACTGCAGATGTTAAGGTGGCTTGATTGAACTGCTCACTTTATGGCATCAGAGTAACGGCAACATCTGCCCGTGGGATGGCAGTTTTTGTTATCCTCTATTGGACAAAAAAGGAAGTTCGATTTTGGCTGCGTTCTTTCCAATGAGAGCTCCACTTTTCGTTTGAGAGTGACAGATTGGCGAGTAAGCATGTCAGCGAGGGCATCGAACTTGGAATTTAGGCCGACAGCGACGACGTTCAGTTGCTCTTTCAGGTCCTTAACGGCCTCTGCGAGAGGATCAATGTGCATCGCGACTTCCACTTCGTCCATGATAACGAAGAGTGAGTTATCGCTGAGCTCAGCTTGCTTTATAGCAGAGATGAGTGTTATCTGAGAGTGATATCTAGAAGTGTTCATCGTTGCAACACTCTACTTGAATATTGTATGAGACTACGAAATGACTAGATTAGAAGCTATTTAATCTTCAGTGTCTGTCTCATCGTTGCTGTTCAGTGGTGCCCGATCGTAGAGCGTATCATAGCCAAAATCCTGGTCATGATTTTGCAAGCTGACATGCTGATGAAGATCGCAGATGAAGATGGTGAATAACTGACCGTCAAGCTTGAGGACAATCAAAATAATCACGGGACCCATAAAGTAGATAACAGCCGTGAAGCAAGCAACGGTGCTAGCTAGTTAGACAGCTTTTTCCGGTAGTTTTTTACAGTTAGCACTAAAGGACTGAGTTCAGGGAAATGTTACTCACGGTAGAAAGCCGACGGATTGGTCCATGTTCTAACGTGTGAAATAAGAATCTCATCTGCGTTGTTGTGTGGCAAGTGTTTTAAGATTCGCCATGTACGGCTATCTCTAAACCTCGGCATAGTGCAAACGTTGGTTTTCTTTGCTTGAACTCGGACGAGGTTGTTAAGAAAACAACTTTATTCCGGCTAGCGTTTCGGCGCGGATCGCCTTCTTCAGAGCCTGGAACAATCGAAGCAATTCATGATTACCCGACCAAACCCATCAACTACCTTACAGGAATTCGAGACCTCAGAGGTCATCACGCAATTGTAAGTTGGGCCGCTCTCCGTCGATCAGTCCGATCCCCGCGACCACCCAGAAACCAGCAACGGTCCAGTAGGCTCTCGGACTAGATGTGATTCAGACTCACTGGTTGAAAGGCCAACCTTATCTACGGCCTCAGCTCCCGCGTGATTGTGATACACTCTTCCTTCCGGTTCATTTTTGGTCTAGAGACCTGAATCCAGAATGCTTCGAGGGTTTTTCGTGCGGGTGTTTGCGATTCTCGTGCCAAGACCGCGGCCGTGGTCTCGAAATCGGCTCCATAATGAGTTTCCACCCTGTGGGCGCCCAAGGCAGATGACATGCGTGACCTGACCTTGCCTTCTACGTGCTCCTTGATGCGTACGCATAGCGGTCTTGATGTTTCGCCGATGTATTCCTCTCCGCAACTGCAACATGTGATCTTGTAGACCACCCCTGCGATTGTACAATCGCCTTCCTTGCCGGTTGGGCAGACCATGCAGTTAGGCGTGGTACATGAGCGATCGTAGAGTCGATTACGAACAAGTCGATGCTTTAGTTTGTAGGGGGGTACATCTATAACGGCAATTAGATTTTCCAGACCCGACCTCCTCAGACACCTCCTTATGGAAGTGCTAAGCTCATCAGAGACGAATGGTACAATGAACGGGATTCTACCGTCCAGTGAGGTACCACGCGGTCTGTTGTTAGTGACCGCATTTCGTTCCCTGTGGGAGGTCGAAGAATGTACGTAGCCATTGAGCGCAGCTATTTCGTGTGCCATCTTCACTGATTCTCTTCGCTCATTTTCTCCACTGCAGACGCTTCCTCTATTTACCGACCATCCTCAGTCAAGGACTTTCAAACTCAGTGTCGCAGACTGAACCGAGTGTGGATGACTACGGCCAAATCAGCGGGTTTGACACATTTGACATCATTCCTTAATAACACAGCTCAAAATCGAGTCACCGTGTTGCCCCGTGCTATATTTGCTGTTAAAAACACATAAGTTCGCAGCAACGGACCATTTGGCATCAATTGCCCCCACCTCGATCAAAGTTCGACCCATTGTCAGCTGCGTTGGTGGTCCCACTGATCGGACAGGATGGTTTCTCAATGTAATCTTGGTGCAGCTTCTAAAATACATACCATCCCACCTGACGAACACCCAGATTTTCCTGAACAAGCTTTAGGCATTTGATGTAGAGAGTCTCTACACTAACGTGAGTAATGTTCCGCCATGGAAGCAGTACTAGAACTGCTAAATCAGTATCAAAGCAT